GATGCCGGCTAATTTGCATACTGCAGGCAGGGCAGGACAGCGCCATCCCGCCTGCCCCGCCACCATCCGGGCCTGCTATCTGTGACCCGGGTGGCGGGCGACCCATGTGCGACCCGACCCAGGGCTGGCGGGCGTGACCACAGTGATCCACCACCGGCCAAGCCCCCAACCGGCTCTCCCTCCGGGAGATCGGGGCTGGTGGGGCAACCACAGCGGTCTGCCAGCAGTCACGCCCCCAACCGGCTCACGCCAGTGATGGCCATCGGAAAGCCGGGCAGCAGGTAAGGGAGCCGGGGCACAGGCCAGCCAGCAAGTCCGGGGACCTGGGTTGCCGGCTGGCCTGCGGCCCGTGATCCCCATGGTGATAGGAGGGAGAGAGAGCCAGGGCGCAGGCCAGCCAGAAAACCCGGGCCGCCTTTGCCGTGCGCGAACTATGCAGCTGGGATAGGGGCGTGGGGACGCTGTGAGCAGGACGGGAACTTCCAGGAGAGGGGCACCTGGCCGCTGGGAATAGGGCGGGAACTTCCCGGGGTGGATGTCAGTCAGCCGGGTGTGGGGCTGGAACTTCTGCTGAGTTGCCATGGCAATGCGGCAGAAGTTCCAGCCCTGTAGCTGTTTGCTCATTCATTCAGTCATTCACTCACTCATTCACTAACTCACTCACTCACTAACTCACTCACTCACTCACTTAGCAAACCCTCTCAGGTCCCAGGCACCAGGGCAGGCACTGAAGTTTAAGCAGGAAAAGACAGAGCTATGTCTTCAAGATGTTAGTAATTCAGTATGCAGCCAGGCGAAGGGCCCCAGGCTGCTGGGAGCAGGGCAGGAACTTTCCCGGGGTGGGCTTCAGGCAGCCGGGAGTGGGGCCGGAACTTCTGCTGCGTTTTCATGGCAATGCAGCAGAAGTTCCCGCCTGGTAGCTGTTTGCTCATTCACTTACTCACTCATTCACTCTCTCACTCACTCACTCACTCACTCACTCACTCACTCACTCACTCACTCACTCACTCACTCACTCACTCACTCACTCACTCACTCACTCACTCACTCACTCACTCACTCACTCACTCACTCACTCACTCACTCACTCACTCACTCACTCACTCACTCACTCACTCACTCACTCACTCACTCACTCACTCACTCACTCACTCACTCACTCACTCACTCACTCACTCACTCACTCACTCACTCACTCAGCAAACCCTCTCAGGTCCCTGGCACCAGGGCAGGCACTGAAGTTGAAGCAGGATAAGACAGAGCTATGTCCTCAAGATGTTAGTAATTCAGTA